ATATACATATATTTATGTGTATATATGTATATATATATATTATATATATATATATTGTCAAAGTGGGACAAAGAGGCCTGCTCCGTCAAGAACCTGCTGCCTCGCTCCACTTGGTTGTAGAGCTCCGACAGCAGATATAAACAGAGACTCGCCTGAAGCAGCTCCAGATCCTCAGGTGCTTTCTTGCTTTCCTCTGTGAGGACGGCAGCCAGAAAGGACGTCAGGACTCTGCTGTGGTGGGCCTTGGATTGGTAAAAAATCTGCTCCAGGTCATTCTTCAGGAGAAAGTGCCTGAATCGCGGCATCGCGACTTTGATGCCCAGGTTCTTCTGCCAGCCCCTGAACCTGAGGAACAAGGCCCGGAGAGCCAGGTCTTTGCTAAGACCGGCACCACACAGTTCCCGGTCGAGCAAGATTTGCATGGCCGAACCATTTGCAAAAAGCCCCACTCCCACATGGGCCACATGCATCCAACAGGGCTTGATGACCTCCACGGAAAAGCCCGGCAGCCAGAGCAGCGGTGAACTCTCCTCCGAGTCCAACTCCGGAAGGACATTTAGGAGAAAGTCCACGTTGCTTCGCCTGGTTCGCATCCAGGCGGCTGCAAGACCGAAAGTTCCGTAAGAAGTGCTGCTACATCTGCATTTGTAGCAGCACTCCTTCGATGTCGGAGTCGCCTTCATCGCGAAGACATCGACGAGAAACTTCCAGTCGCCTCGGATCTCGGTCACCAGATGTGTGGCAGCCAGCTTCTGGAGGGAATCCACGACAAACCTCCAGAGTGGCTGCTCGGTGCATCTGCCAGCACTGAACCGATCCTGCAAAAAAAACAGGGGGAACCTGGAGTAGGCCAGACCTTGGTGCTCGGTCAAGACGAAGCCCATGAAAGCTCCAAGTAAGTGATCCCCGTATTTTGTAAACTGGGCCGCATCTCCATACAGGAACAAGGGCTCGGCATCCATGGCAGCTCCTGGATGCTTTCCAAGGGCAGTGTCCTTCAAAAGAGACCAGTATCGCCTCGCAGCTCCAGGACTCGGTGCCAAACCCACTTTCTGCAGGTAGGGGATGAGCTCGTGAGGAGCTATGCAGGGTATGTGCCTCAGTGCAACATGCTTCTGAAATCCTAGAATTCTATATATAAATATATAAATTTATTTATTTACAGACACGTATGTATACATGTATATAATTACACA